TCTGTGCCGCAGGTAAAGGGAGGGAAGAGAATGATGTTTGGGTAAGAGGGATTGTGCTTCTGAGGCTCCTCTCAGATATTTCGCAGAATTTTTTTGTTTTCTGTTTCATTATGGAATTTCATCCATTAGGAGAGCAATTCCTTTGTGGCTGTATTGTTTATGGTACTTGGAAACGTTTTTGTGGTTAAATTACATTAAAGTATTTAAATTATGTATCTCTTCTCTTCATATATAACTGAAGGCAGTGGGATAAACAGCAATAATTAAAAAAAAAACCAGTCACCTAACTTTAGGTCCAGTAGAAATGAAAGGCATGGTGTTAACAGGCATGTGAGGCATGTGATCAAGCGCTGAGAGAGGCCTGTGCCAATTACTGTGGGAGTTTGAAAGAGGAGACATTACTTCTCCTTCATCCTTCAGACAGTGCTCAACCTGGAAGGGGAGGGAGGGGTCCCTGGGAACCTGAGAAGAAGCAACTACTAGGAGCAAGTCTAAGTCCAGGTGGAGTGAGGGATGCAGGAGTAAATCCTTGGAAACAGAAATGTTCATCTGGGCTGCCACAGAAGACGGTGGAAATCATATAACCCAGCCCATAGTGCCCAGGCAGATCCTACTTCCTGACACTAGTATGTTGCACCAGTGTGTCCCCATCTCCTCCCAGGTCTCTGCCTCTTCCAGAATCATCTCCTCCCTCCCTGCTGCTCAGACAAGCAGGTGCATGTTGTACACATTATTCATTTCCTGTCGGTCACCTTCTGTCGACCTTGAGTCCACCATCCCCATTTTCCCGTTAGATGCTGCTCCCTCCTTGAGCACTCATTGCCTTATAGGGCAACTGTTTTTCAGATTCCAATTTTACTTTTTATTAATACACATTTAACCCCATATTTAAGGTAACCTAAGTATCTTCCCAGTCTTTTACCAATCTGTATTTTTGGGGTAACATTGATTGGTATTTTGAGGGGCATTTTTGTTTATCTTTAGTAATGAAGATAAAAATAACCTCTTTACTCTTCAATTTCTGTGTTTTCTTCCTACTTTAGACTGAACATCATCTCCTTCCATTCTTCCCATTCTACTCCTCTCGCTTTAGAAGATAGATTTAAGGGGGAAAAAATCTCAGTTTGACTATAGCTGCCAGATATGTGTTAGGAGTTAGGATGAGCATGGGGTACTATGCACAGTAGCTCAAAGAAACAGTCAGGATGACAAGCTAGTGTTGAGATTATACTTTAAGAAAGTTGATCAGAAAACTTTCAGGGTAGGATTTCTGGAATGTTCTTTCTGCTGCCATGCTAACCTTCCCAGCATCCCTTGCATATTGCATAAGCAACAATGATGAAACTCACTTATCGGCCACAAGATGGCACTGTGGTCCCCTGGGATCTAAGGGGCTCTGTCTGGGGAGAGTCTGGGACAGCAGTCTAGGGAGGGAAAGGGTTAAGAAAAATGTGGGCTTGGATCCAGTATTATGCAGAAGTTGAAGTTATCAGTTATTGCTAGGCTTCCTGCAGCCATGCAAGTGCCGGGAGGTCCCTGTCAACTTTAAAGAGAGCCACAGTTGAAGAGTGTGTCAGGACAGCCTTGCTGTGAGGGGCAGGTGCAGACAGAGGAGCAGCTGCCTCAGGGGAGCGTGGGACCCAAAGCCCAGCACATGGCTGCTGCCCCATCCTCCCTGAGGGTAGGGTGGGAGCAATGGGATCTCAGGTTGAAGGTCCTCCTGCAGCATGAAACTTAGTGCAACCTGAGGTCCATTATTGTGGTGTGCATGTAAATGCAAACACTGTTATTTTGCTCAGTTTGGAATATTCTGGTAATTGTGCAAAGCAGAGGAGTGGTAGCTCCCAACAGGAGATGGGTATTTTATTTTGTTTTCAAGGGAGAAGAAAAGAGCAGAAAGCAGATGAGCGACTTTCATCGGTTTGAGTGATCTGGAATTCTACAAGTCTACAAGTCGTACCCATAATGTCACCTTGGCTTTGAGTCCATTGGATATGAAGCATGTGTTTTCTGGAGGACAAAAATGTTTTGATAACAAGTAATAAAGCACAAGTAAACAAACTATATGGGGGGGGGGATGTTAGTAGATACACCAAACAGTGTCATTAGACCTGTGGATAATCAGTCAGTAGAATTATTGAGAACTATGAGCTAAGTCTCTACCAAGTACCTGTGGGCATAGATCAGTATTTTGAGTCTTCAGAAGGTAGATTAAGGAAGGAAACTAAGTTTTCTCAGAATTTAGGTTTAAAATCCATGAGCTACTCATTTTTTTCTTGGGTAATATTACAGAATAATATTGAGCAACTATTTCATTTTTCTTTAGCCCGTCTCCACCGTTAGCTCCTATAGTAGAAACCTACCCCCAGGAGCAAAGTTCCTTAACTTGGGACTCATTGACCCCAAGACAGGTAGGTCCCTAGCTGGGCTTCACTGGAAGTACAAACCCTATGTGGGTAAGCTGTGCCCAAGCATACTCTGTTGTTGTCAAGGGGAGTGTCAGATTACCCTGGACCCTACTCACAAAGAGGGGAGAAGGCTGCCTGCTTGGAAAAAAATCTGTTCATCAATTGGCCAATGTGCTGAAAGTCAAAATGAAGGGCTAAGTTGTGAGACTGATGAATGTCCAATTCCCCCAATTATGAAATTTACGGCAGTTCATGGATCTTAGAATCATTTCAACCATGTGCAAGGATTTTTTTTCTCAAGTTTTTCTTTGTCCACAGCTTTCTCTCAGACATCGATCCTTAGTTGTTTCTCAGTACACTTGTCAGTCCACCATATTTTGATGCTAAATTTGGATGTCGTGCATGTCAGTCACTGAGCACCTCTCACCTCTCCATATTTTATGTAAATATTTGAGTGCTCTTGTCTTTTCCTGCTCATGTGTGATTCATTTCTAAATTGAACTGCACAGAATACAAACATATATTTATATATAACTCCTATCTTGTATATAATTCATTTATTATTTACTTTTAGGAATATTCTTTATTAAGATATAATTAATGGAGAGTAAAACAGTCAAATTCACACAAGGCTAGCTTGGCACATTTTGATAAACGCATACACCTCTGCAAGCATAACTGAAATTATGATAAAAACATTCCCATCACTCAAGAAAGTATCATCATGTTCCTTTCCAATCAATTTCTCTCCCAAAGGTAAGGAATTTTCTGATTTCTATCACCTTTGATTCATTTTGTCTATTCTTGAACTTCATACAAATAAAATCATATAGTTAATTTTTATGGACTTATTTTCCTATAAAATTAACATGTTTGATGTGTATTCATGTTTTTGTATCAGCAGTTTGATCTTTCTTGTGCCTGAGTAGCATTCCATTGCACCAGTGTACCACAACTTGTAGGTCCATTCTCTTATTGATGGATAGCTGGGTTACCCTGTCTTTAACATTATGAATAAAGTTGCTCTGAACATTCTTTTATAATTCTTTATAAAAATGCATTTATTTTTCTTAGGTATCAATCTAAGAGTGGAATCGTAATTCATATGATAGGTGCATGTGCTATGGTTTGAAAGTCCAACCAACATTCATGTTGAAATTGAATTGCCAGTGTAAGAGTTCTGGGGAGTGAGGCCTTTAAGAAGTGAGGCAGAACCCTCATGAATAGACTAAGCCCTTGTTGTGAGAGAGCCTTCGTTGCCCTGGGAGTGGGCTCCTGATGAAACGTGACTTCAGACCCATTTGCATTTGTCTCCTGGCTCACTTGCTTTTCCTTCTGCTGTGGGATGATGCAGCTGCAGGCCCCACCACACGTGACCCCTCATTCTTAGACTTCCCTGGTGGTAGAACGTGAGCCAAAGAAATCTCTGTTCTTTATAAATTACTCAGTCTATGGAACTCTGCTATAGCAGCAGAAAACAAACTAAGACAAAACATGGGTACCCAAGGGTAGGGTTGTTGCTAAAACAAAGTCCTAAAATATGAAAGCAACTTTGGAACTGGGTGATGGGTAGAGGCTGGAAGACTCTCAAGGGGCAGGTAAGAAGAAGCCTGTATTGCTGTGACTGGAGCAATAAGGGCCATCCTGGGGAGGGCTCAGAAGAAGAGGAGAGATATAGGGAAAGCCAGAATCTTCTCAAGATTTCTAGCTCGTTGTGATTAGGGTGTCTGTAGAAATATGGATGGTTAAGGCAACTCTGATGAGATCTCAAGGAGAATGTACAACAAGGAATTAGAAAATAGAGTAGCAAATACCTTGGCTGAATTGTGTCCCTTTCCTAGGACTTTATGGAATACAGAAATTACAAGCAATGAACTAGGGTACTTGGTGGAAGAAATATCTAAGCAGAGGAGCCATCAGGCTGCTGTGTGGCTGATATTAGCCACTGTGAAATGTAATCCAACAAGAAGGAAGCCAGGAGAGTAGATTTTGCAAAGCAGGACAGTTGGTTACTCAAACAGCCCTCTGCTCTCCTGCCATGGTCTCCCACAAGACAAGCCCACTGGAGGGACAGAAGAAGGAGGTGGTTAGGATGGTCACTGGGTCAGCCTCTGAGGGCAGGGTATACCTGGAGGGACAAACACAAATGCCCCAAAGTACTGCACACAGCACGACCTTTGTTAAGTCCCAGTTGGCTGGGAACTGATAAAGCACCAGAACGGATTCTGGGGATTCTGTACTGCTGATGATTTACCCACAGCCAGGTCAACTTGGACCTGATCAGATGGACTAAATCGTGGTGAGTCCGCTTCACTGGCTGCTCAGGGGAGGGCCTGGGAACATGCCCCAGGAAAGGAAAATACAACCAGAAACCTTGGTATGAATCCAATATCAATGATGACATGAGCTCAGCCAGGCAGAGCTGGGACAGGAGGGGTGGCGCAGGCTCCTCACTCTCAGCTGATGGGCAAGTGTGAGTCCAGCGTGGAGCACTGCCCCAGTAGCTGGGGGAGGTGGAAGGGGAGGGGGCAGCCTGGGTGCTGGGGCAGTGGGCGGAGGAGCAGCTGGCCTCACCCTGCCCCTGCCCTGCAGATCAGGGAGCTCTGGACCTCAGGAAGCCTGCAGGGGTGACCCAGGGCTGTGACATCACAGATAACTCCTCCAATCAGGAGAAGCGAGCCCAGACTCAGCTCTTCCCCAAGAGGCCCACGTCATGAACACGGGGACACAGAGCTGCCTGCCCCGCTGTGCCATGGGCTCCAGGCTCCTCCACTGGGCAATGCTTTGCCTCCTGGGGACAGGTGAGCCCTGGGGACAGGGCAGCTTCTCCATTCTGAGCTTGGCCACCCCCACATCCTGCACCTGACCTTGGGGAGGCACCACCAGGCTGTCTCCTGTGCTCAATCTCCATCTGCTTCTCCACAGGCCTGGCAGAGGCTGGAGTCACCCAAACTCCGAGACACCTGATCACAGCAAGAGGACAGCAAGTGACACTGAAGTGTTTCCCTGTCTCTGGGCACAACCAGGTGTCCTGGTACCAGCAGGCCCTGGGTCAGGGGCTCCAGTTCCTCATTCAGTATTTTGAGGGGGAAGAGAGAGAAAAAGGAAACTTTCCTGCCCGATTCTCAGGGCACCAGTTCAGTGACTATCGCTCTGAGCTGAACCTGAGCGCCTTGGAGCTGGGGGACTCGGCCTTGTATCTCTGCGCCAGCAGCTTCCACAGCCCTGCAGAGCCACCAGCGGTCTGTGCACAAACCTCCCTGCCCCAGCCTGGAGGAACCTCAAACCTGACGTATCTGTGACAACCTCAGGCCTGCAGGAGAGGAAAACAAAACAATTTCAGGACAGGGGAACATGCAGCCTGGGGCTTTTCTGCTACTCAGGCTGGGGGAAGTGGGGTGAGAAGGTCTGGTCAGAAGACGGTGCTACTTGAGCGGGTTCATTCCAGATCACCTTCTGTGCCCGACACTGTGTCCTACAGCGGTACAGCAGTTGGCATCCTTGTTCTTAGGGAAGAAAATTTTATTTTGGGCTCTAGAGTTTTTGATAAATGTGTAGTATAGTAGATAGAATCACAATCGTTTGATTTACATAATTTAAGGAGAAAACATTTATTTGGGGAAATTTTAGGAGAAAGAATGGGACTAAAGGCTGTTGAAAATAAGGGCAGAGCTGGCAGATGATGAAAATGGTGTTCCTTGCTACATAATCTCGCAAAGTCTCCAATATCCAGGAAACAGGAAGGAAGGCCTTGGAGCAAGTGGCCACACCTGGGGCTGGTCCCAGAGGAGACATCACTAAGCAGCCAGGAGCCTGGCGTGAGAGCCCTGGAGCTCATTCTGATGTCTTCTTTCTTGACTTCTGGTCCCAATCTTGTCCCATCTGGGCACAGTTTGGTAATTCCCAAGAGAGAGGAGGTCATTTTAGCCCTGATGGTAACTAGGCAGAATCTCTCCAGGTTTCCCCAAGCTGAATTCTGCCTCCCTGGGCTCCCTTTCCAGCACTTACTGCCCCACCCTGAGCCAGTTATCTTCTGTGAACAAGCAGCTCTTGGACATTTCCCAAAGTCTGCAGGCTTTTGCATCCTCTGCCTTTGCCCTGGATGCTTCCATGGGATGGAAGGCGCCTTCTTCTCCCCAGACAGGGCCGGACACTGCTCACCTGTCAAGGACGGGCTCGCACCTGCCTTCCTCTTAGCTTCTTATCCTGGCATTGCCTGGTACTCCATTGTATCTCTCTTTCCCTTGTTTTGATAGAAAAAGCTGAGTATACAGTCTATGACTCTTTCTTGTATTGAACTGAGTAAGTTAATGCTCACATATATAGAGTCCTGGAATATCATTAATCACCAACTCTTATTTATGTGATGAATATTATTAATCACTAAGTATTTATTGGTTAGGGCTCATGGGCACTTCTGGGTAGGGTAGCAAATGTGAGACCCACTGAACCTGCCTTAATCCTGGCTGAGAGGGTTGCTTACTTCAAGCTTTTATGAATTAGAAATATATTTTTTAAATCTAGAAACTATTTTCATAAAACACACTATTTAATATTTAGTAATAATTAACCCAAATAGAAAATATACAAAGATATACATCTGATTAACCAGAAGATTTCCTTCATTTGTCCAGGCTGTATCTGGTTGACATGGCCACACATTTTATAGCCCATCTAAACCTGGCTCCTCTCCCCCATCTTAGCACGCTGATTTCAATGGTGCAACAATTGTTTATCTGAAATCCAAATGTTGGTTCATCTCCCTTTTGTCCCCACTGGCTAAGGGTGGATATGAAGATCAAGCCTAAATTGGCCCCTCTGAGAAAGCAGTAGAGAGGGTTGTGAGAGGGTGGGGTTGCGGGGTGAGGGTCTGGGCATCTCTTTTCCTAATTTGGACAATCTTGAGCTCATCAGACCAGGTGTGTATCCCCGAGACTGTGCACCGTTGGCCACTTGGAGGCGCTGTGGCTCCTCAATGCTGCAGGGAAGCTGGGGAGGCCTGGGAGGGTGGTCCAGGGCAGGAGGGCTGCAGGGACTGCCTGGCTGAGTCCTTGCATCAGGAGGTGGTTGGAGTTCAGAGTGAGTCCTGAAATAAACACAGAGTCCTTACTACTCAGGGAGGGGTAGAGGAGCTACAGGCCTCAGTATACACCAAGGGGGAGTTTCTCTGCACCTGCATGGGCAGTGGAGAGTGAAGGGGCAGGGTTGGCCTGGGCTGGGGACTCAGTGTCAGGGCAGGACAGGGAAGCAGAGGAAGATAAGGCGTGTCGTGGGCATGTGGGGACTGTGCTCAACCCCGTGCACCTTTAGTTTGGGGCTGCACAGGACAGCAACGGTGCGTGGCCCAGCAGAGCCTGGGGCCCGCCCACATGAACAGTGGCAGGGGTGGCCTGCAGGGAGCGTAACTCAGGGCAGTGACATCACAGGCCAATGCTCCTGTCAGGGAGGTGTGAGTTGAGAACGTCAGAGTGCTCACTACAGGAGACCCACCCCTGAGCCAGGAGATGCCACCGGTCAGTCCTGAGGCTGCCATGGGCTCCAGGCTCTTCTGCTGGGTGGCCCTTTGTCTCCTGGGAACAGGTGAGTCCTGGATGCACCTGGGAAGCCTCTGATCTCCATTTCCCATCCATCCCTGGATTACAAGCCGGGGAAGGATGCCTGCAGCAGGGGGCTTCCTCCTGCGCTCCGCCCTTAGCGTCAGTCTTCTGCCACACAGGCCCGGTGGATTCTGGAGTCACGCAAACCCCAAAACACCTGATCAAAGCAAGGGGACAGCAAGTGACACTGAAGTGCTTTCCTATGTCTCAACACCAATCTGTGTCCTGGTACCAACAGCACCCGGGCCAGGGTCTCCAGTTCCTCATCCAGTATTACAACCAGGAAGAGAGAGACAAAGGAAGTGTCCCTGCTCGGTTCTCTGGACAGCAGTTTCCTGACTATCACTCCGAACTGAACCTGAGCTCCTTGGCGCTGGGGGACTCGGCCCTGTTCCTCTGCGCCAGCAGCTTAGCACAGCCCTGCCTGGTCGTCAGCCTTCTGTACAAAATCATCCCTGCCCCCGCTCAGGAAGCCACCCTGAGGGCGGGGCTGCCAGAGGCCTCCCTGGGGCCCTGGGGAGCTGGCAGGGTGCTTCTGTGCGTGATCTCGTCACATGCTCCTGAAAGCGTGAAAGGTAACTGTTATTTTACCTGTTTATGCATGTGACAGAAACAGCGTTCCTGGGTCTCATGTTTAATAACTGGCTGAAGTCTGTTCCTCCAACACCTCTACTGCCCCATCACACACACACACACAAACATGCACACATACACACTGACACACACATACACACACACACATACACACACACTCTGTCTCTGTGTCTCTGTAGATCTGTCCCCTCACCGGCTTCGCCTTTCCAGGTCCGCATTTGCAGGATGGGAGGTCGTGCATCATATGTGCTCATCATAACCTCTTCCCTGGCAAGTCCAAGTAACATATGACTTCGAGACAAAGTGTATCCATTCATCCTTCATTGTGACAAAAAAGAAAGGCGCAGTTTTCTGCACTGTAGCTGTCGTGTGGACGAGGCCGTTTCCTCCCCTTCATGGAGAGGGCAGGGAGGGCCCAGCTGCACAGCACAGGCAGTGGGACGCTTGCTGGGAACGGGCAGTCTGGGACAATCTACCCTGAGGGAGAGGACACGGATAATTATTATTATTCGTTAATTTATTTTATTCTTTTATTCAATAAACTATCTGGGGCCCCCTACTTTGTACAAGGGATTTTATCACATAAAGCATAAAATAAAAACAATATCAAAAGGAAAATTAAAAAAAATTTAATGAAAAAAGTTTGTTTCTTGTATTTGAGAATTTTAAGGTCTCAATTTTTTTTTTTTTGTGGTCACGCATTCAAAGTAGTTTACTCAATGTCTGATCTATAAAAATTTCCTTTGTTTCCGCTCTTTTTCTCTTTGGCTATCTATCCCTTTTTGCCAGAAATTTTCTCTGTGTGTGTGTGTTGAGAACATTTAACATGAGATCTTCCCTTTTAACAGATTTTTAAGTGTATGATACACTATGATAATCTATAGGTACAATGTTGTACCTATAGATCTCTAGATCTTATTATCACATTTCACTGAAATTTTATAGCCATATATAACATTTGCTCCATAGTAGTCTTAAATAAAGCAATGGTAGAACAAATCCTTTTACTAGGACTTTGTATTCACGTTTCAGTTCCCGGTTCCCTAGTCCAGGGTTCAGAATATACGAGAGTTAATCAGTCTCTCTATGCCTGATACGGTCTGCTATGGGTCAGAGAAGAGCATTCATTTGCTGAGAAAGCACAAGGCATTCATTTCTGCAAGCAAGTTTGTCAGTTGGTATAGAAATTTCCAATTTTAAATATGGCATATTCTTCAACCTGAAGTCTAAAATATAATGTAAAGTCTATAAATATAATTCTCATATCTAGGCTATTGAAGTTTGGGGTTGGGGACAAAAGGAAAGAAGAGAGGACATCTGCAGATTTAGAAAGTTTTATATTTTGCACATATACATGTGTGTGTATATATATGTGTATATATATGTGTGTGTGTATATATATGTGTGTGTATATATATATATGTGTGTGTGTATATATATATATATATATATATATATATATATATATAATTTCTCCTTGGAAGAATAGGAAAAAATATGACTACAAGGGCTAATGAGCACTAATT